CTGGACCTTGACTGCTCATGGAATGCTGAACTGGACCTTGACCGCTCATGGCATGCTGAACTGGACCTTGACTGCTCATGGAATGCTGAACTGGACCTTGACCGCTCATGGCATGCTGAACTGGACCTTGACTTGACTGAAACATGTCTGTCTATGTAGGACTGTGAACTGCAGCAATGTCCCGAAAAGCCTCCCACCTTCCAAGAGCCAAAACTGCCACCCCAACCCATTCACACAACGCAGTGGAGATTTGGGTCATGGACACAGGTGAGGAAAAAAACATTGTTCTAAGCCCCTGGCACAATAGCATCATATTTTGTTTCAGACATCCAAATTCTATATAACTTTTTCATATACTTGGATGTTTTAATGAAATAGTCAGGTTTAGTGTTGCCTTTATTAAGAATCCTTTAGAAGCTTAAAACCTGAAATTTCTTTAGTCTTGTCCTACACCGGCAATAAAGCTTTGTGCAGTTTGAAAATTGTAAGTACCATCATCCTGTTGAGCAAAATATGTTCATTCTTGTACTTCTAGTAAGTGCATCAGTTTGTGATTTGTCATATGGTGACCTGACATTGCATTGACATTGCATGTGTGCACTTCCTGTGCCTTGGTGTGGCATGGATGTGACTCTGATCCTTGAAACCTGCCATGCAGTGCAGCGCTACCTGCGGCAAAGGCTCGAGGATGCGCTATGTGAGTTGCCGTGACAATCAGGGGGGCGTGGCCGAGGAATCAGCATGTTCCCACCTCCCCAAGCCACCGGCCCAAGAAGTGTGCTCAGTGGTAGCCTGTGGTCAGTGGAAGGTCTTGGAATGGACACTGGTAAGGACAGAGGTCTCCACCAAACTGATCACATTCCTATTATTCACATATCCAGCATTTACTGACATGTACTGAACTGAAATCATTAGTCTCCCTTTGTAAAACGGGTTGATTGGCTGTCCATTGAGCTTTCTGTCCATTCTCTCATCTTCACTTGGTTAAAATGAATGGGAAAATTATGTCAAAGAGATAGTTTGTTCTGTAGAACCTATAGGACATGTAAGTCTATCTGCTTGGGAAAACTGCAATCTCATGCTTGTATTTGAATGTTTGATCCCAAAGTTAAAACAGACATGATATAATTTCTTACATGGGCATAGTTTTACAGTCCAGTCATCCCTTCAATAGTTAATAAAGTAATAAGAACTGTAAATGTAAAATCAAAAGATTGAAGACTGTAAGNGAGATAGTTTGTTCTGTAGAACCTATAGGACATGTAAGTCTATCTGCTTGGGAAAACTGCAATCTCATGCTTGTATTTGAATGTTTGATCCCAAATCTTATACATATTTGATATCTCTTTGTACATGGGCATAGTTTTACAGTCCAGTCATCCCTTCAATAGTTAATAAAGTAATAAGAACTGTAAATGTAAAATCAAAAGATTGAAGACTGTAAGGAATATGAAGACCAAATGAAAAAGTATGTTTATTAAGGAGGCCTAAAGACCCACACAAAAGACAGAATGTTCTCTAGCCTCTTTGTCCATTGGGAGTGACTGTGGAGCACGTTCCTTGTGCCTGAGGGTCTTTCTGTGTGTGTTCCTGTGCTTCTTCAGTGCTCCGTGACGTGTGGCCAGGGCAAGGCCACTCGGCAGGTGGCGTGCGTGAACTTCAGTGACCAGGCCATGCACACCAGCGAGTGTGATCCCGACGATCGGCCTGTGACGGAGCAGGAGTGCAGCATGCCCCACTGCCCCACGCGTCCCGACCCTCTGCCCAAAAACCTCTCACTGCCCCCCAGTGGCCGAAGCCAGTGGAGGACAGGACCATGGGGAGCGGTGAGTCTCCCTCGAAGCTCTCCTCGTATCCCTGGATGAAGGCTGTTTGAAAGCTACTCCCCTCTATTCATCATCTTTATTTGTCATCCGCTTGGCTCTGATTGGCTGCGCAAACTGGGCTGTTTGAAATGAAATATGACCCCCTGTGAGACAGCCAGGGAAGAAATGGGCAGAACCACTGCGGGTGAAGACCTTGTGTAGCTGTCCACCACACCATCCTTAAAGGCATCCTGCTGACAGCCCAGCAATATCTACAGTAGCAGTCAAAAACGATGTCACCACCTTATTTTTTCCACTCTTTTTTGACACAACAGACCCACATCCAGAGCACAAATAAACATACTGTGCCGAGTGGTTGAGTCAGGTAGACGTTACTGTGTGTATTAACAGCAACTGTGGGTGTATTGCTAGCTGTTTAAACAATACTCATGGTTACATGATAACGAAACACACACATTCCATGCCAAACTGTGTGGTTACATTACAACATTGCACTGTTTAAAGTGCAGTGCAGTGAAAGGCATGTCGGTAACAACATAATCATCACACATTTACATCAGCCAATCGTGGACAAGGGGTGGGAACAGAACAAACCATTCATTATAGCTCAGGGGTGGCCAATCTTATCCACAAAGGGCCGGTGTGTATGCAGGTTTTTGGGGTAACCTTTAGATCGCCTGTTCAAACCCAGGTGTGAGGACTCTTCAGCCAATCAGTCCTCTAATTAGTGACCTAATTAGGGAGTTGCAGCTAAAACCTGCATACACAGCGGCCCCTTGCAGATAACATTGGCCACCCCTGAGCTATAATAAATGGTTTGTTCTGATCCCACCCCTGTTATAGCTCATATGACGATGTAATGCCAAAAGAGCTGAAAGTAATCGTCTGAAATATTCCACTAGCTTTACTCTTCGATTCAACTCACCCCTAACTCGGAAGATAGTGTTTAGGTCGTTGGGGATTATTGGGGCCTGGTCATCTGTCACAGCACTCCATCTCTCTCCGTGCTGACAGAATAATACTACATAACCTCAAGTAATACTACATAACCTCAAGTAATACTACATAAAATCAAGTAATACTACATAACCTCAAGTAATACTACATAACCTCAAGTAATACTACATAACCTCAAGTAATGCTACATAACCTCAAGTAATACTACATAAAATCAAGTAATACTACATAACCTCAAGTAATACTACATAACCTCAAGTAATACTACATAAAATCAAGTAATGCTACATAACCTCAAGTAATACTACATAAAATCAAGTAATACTACATAACCTCAAGTAATACTACATAACCTCA